ATACTTTTCTTTCTTAGTCTCATTTAAAATGTCTAGCTTTGAATAAATAATTATCTGAATCTTACAACCAAAGTTTTAATCTGATGTAAAATGTATAGAAATCATACATATACCAACAAGACTGTACATCACTGTCACAACAGCGTTTGTTTTCATTTTTTGTCCCAGTCCAGTCCTGCTGTCCTATGAATAATCTTTGTGTGTTTTCCTCCCTTAAGCATGGCTTCTTGTCAGCTGCCATTCCACTGAGACCATTCCTGATGAGGCTTCAGTGAACAGTAGATGGATCAGCTGAAGGCCCAGATGCATCTCTCACCTCCTGTGTCAGTTCTTTGCTGTATTTTTTCATTATTTCTTAAGGACAACTTTGTCTGTGCAAGATAGTTTTTTTTAAGGCCTGACACTTATCAGTGTGTCCTTATCTGTCCAGTTTCCTCAATCTCTTAAGGACACACTGCACCAGCACTCTCTGGTAATATACAGTATATGGCACGTTTTCAGCTAATAGCTCTTTGGGAATCACCAAGTTGGTGCAAAAATCTATCACATACCTGTCAAACTGTGGTATCATTGGCATTTTTTGTAGATTCAACTAAAGAATGTGTTTTTGGAGAATATGTTTTTGCAACAGGCTCCCAAAGAGCGCCTAAAGATTTAAAACTGGTTGCTTTGCTAAGTTGTTATGTGTAAACACAACACTAGTTCAGGCAGGTGTGTTCTTATGTTTGAGTGATTCATAAACCAGTGTTAAGTTAAATTAGAATATCATGGTTGATGTGTAAAATCTGTAGGTTTTTCACACATTAATGGCGGAAGTTAAACACTTGAACGCTTTAGTAAATTTTTAGCTCACAGGAAAGAATGATTGTGTGAAAAAAAAGAAAGAATCAGAACTGAAAGTTGAATCTCACCATTTTATGCAAAGCGTGGAATTCGCTGTAGCGTTTCTCAACAGCATGCTGTCTGCCGTTCATCAACACGTCAATTTTAAAGACCTGAAAGAAAAAAGATAAGTCAGCTTAGTGACTCATTCAACTGAAAATTTCTCTGCTCTACCCATACACTCAGCAGTGACAGTAACGTTGATGTCAGCATTAATTCCACAACAAGAGGAAACATCTGGCTGTTGTGACAGAAAAAACAAATTGATCTGTCAGAGTTACTGTTAACATCCCTAAACAGGCTGCCTTCCACTTCCCTTCCTTCAGTAAGAGATTCACAGCACGCACGCTGCCGTTCTGGACAGCATTTTGCAAAGGAGGAAATTCACAATAAATGACGGCAGCGCTGTGAACACACACACCGCGGAAAAGCCAACAAGTAATCATTATTAACAAATGCTGGAAGAATCCAAACAGGTGTTGAATCTTATTTAAAAATATATTTTAAATAAAATATATAATCATCTCATAAACCTGAACACAGTGTCCATACGCGAATACTGAGAAATAAATTCAGAAAACTTTCTTTTTATGGGTATTACACAATATCTTGGAGGTCAGGAAGTCAAACTCAAAAGCACTGCTCTAAGGTCCTCATGACTTCCAGCAATAAAACATCATGCCATTAAAACAGGGGAAAAAAGCCTTCCTCAAAATGATGCCACAAAACTGGGAACTGTTGCCTAATTGAACAGTGGTTCCCAATAAAGGGGATAGGACTCCTTAGAGCAGGGGTGTCAAACACAAGGCACGCGTTTGACACGGCCCACAAAGACCCGCACGGCTGTGGAAAATGTAAAGGAGGGCATAGATTTTGTACTTTTAACTGTATTTTCATCGATTTTACAGCGTTTCCTGCTGATGAAGTCCACCACTGCCATTCATTCTACACCAAAGTAATAAATAAACAATAACAATTAAACCACAGAAAAGTTTTTTCTTACCATCTACTATAAAAATTTATATATATTTATATTTTCTTTTACAGTGGTTCCACAGCAGGGGAAAAAAAATTATTTTTTTGGCCACCAGAACACATTTGTTTATCTGCGCTGACAGATTTCTTTTTTTTTTTTACAGCAGCATTTCTTTATTGTCTAGAAAAACTGAGATATATTGTTGAAACTGGTCTTCTTTTAGTATTAATTGGTATTAAATGTGCAGTCCAACTTCTTTACACT